GGCATAGTATAGCATGTTGAAAAAGTGAAAAAAAGGTCATAGTATAGTATGTCGAAAAAAGTCATAGTATAGTATGTCGAAAAAAGTCATAGTATACCATGTCGAAGTAAGTCATAGTATAGTATGTCGGAAAAGTGAAAAAAAAAAAGGCATAGTATAGCATGTTGAAAAAGTGAAAAAAAGGTCATAGTATAGTATGTCGAAAAAAGTCATAGTATAGTATGTCGAAAAAAGTCATAGTATACCATGTCGAAGTAAGTCATAGTATAGTATGTCGGAAAAGTGAAAAAAAAAAAGGCATAGTATAGCATGTTGAAAAAGTGAAAAAAAGGTCATAGTATAGTATGTCGAAAAAAGTCATAGTATAGCATGTCGAAAAAAGTCATAGTATAGCATGTCGAAAAGAGTCATAGTATAGCATGTCGAAAAAAGTCATAGTATAGTATGTTGGAAAAGTGAAAAAAAACCAAAAAGTCATAGTATAGTATGTCGGAAAAGTGAAAAAAAAGCCACAGTATAGTATGTCGATAAAAGTGAAAAAGAGGTCATAGTATAGCATGTTGAAAAAGTGAAAAAAAGGTCATAGTTTAGTATGTCGAAAAAAAGTCACAGTATAGCATGTCGAAAAAAGTCATAGTATAGCATGTCGAAAAGAGTCATAGTATAGCATGTCGCAAAACGTCATAGTATAGCATGTCGAAAAAAGTCATAGTATAGTATGTCGGAAAAAGTCAGTATAGTATGTCGAAAAAGTGAAAAAGTCACAGTATAGCATGTCGAAAAAAGTCATAGTATAGCATGTCGAAAAGAGTCATAGTATAGTATGTCGGAAAAGTGAAAAAAAACCCAAAAAGTCATAGTATAGTATGTCGGAAAAGTGAAAAAAAAGTCACAGTATAGTATGCCAATAAAAGTGAAAAAGAGGTCATAGTTTAGTATGTCGAAAAAAAGTCATAGTATAGCATGTCGCAAAACGTCATAGTATAGCATGTCGAAAAAAGTCATAGTATAGTATGTCGGAAAAAGTCAATATAGTATGTCTAAAAAGTGAAAAAGTCACAGTATAGCATGTCGAAAAAAGTCATAGTATAGTATGTCGAAAAAAGTCATAGTATAGCATGTCAAAAAAAGTCATAGTATAGTATGTCAAAAAAAGTCATAGTATAGCATGTCGAAAAGAGTCATAGTATAGTATGTCGGAAAAAGTCAGTATAGTATGTCGAAAAAGTGAAAAAGTCATAGTATAGCATGTCGTAAAAAGTCATAGTATAGTATGTCGGAAAAAGTCATAGTATAGCATGTCAAAAAAGTCATAGTATAGTATGTCGAAAAAAGTGAAAAAGTCACAGTATAGTATGTCAAAAAACGTCATAGTATAGCATGTCGAAAAAAAGTCATAGTATAGCATGTCCAAAAAAGTCACAGTATAGTATGTCGAAAAAAGTGAAAGTCACAGTATAGTATGTCGAAAAACGTCATAGTATAGCATGTCGAAAAAAGTCATCGTATAGCATGTCGAAAAAAGTCATCGTATAGCATGTCGAAAAAAAGTCACAGTATAGCATGTCGAAAAAAGTCATAGTATAGCATGTCGGAAAAAGTCATAGTATAGCATGTCGGAAAAAGTCACAGTATAGCATGTCGAAAAAAGTCATAGTATAGTATGTCGAAAAAAGTGAAAAAGTCATAGTATAGTATGTTGAAAAAAGTGAAAAAGTCATAGTATAGTATGTCGAAAAAAGTGAAAAAGTCACAGTATAGTATGTTGAAAAAAGTGAAAAAGTCATAGTATAGTATGTCGAAAAAAGGGAAAAAGTCACAGTATAGCATGTTGAAAAATGTAATAGTATAGTATGTCGAAAAAAGTCATAGTATAGCATGTCGAAACAGTGAAAAAAAAAGTCATAGTATAGCATGTCGAAAAAAGTGAAAAAAAAGTCATAGTATAGTATTTTGGAAAAAAGTGAAAATAGCAAAGTACAGAATGCGAAAAAAAGTCAGTATTTAAAAAAAAAGGAAAAAAATTTATATGTAGCATAATTTAACTTTATTACATTTTTATGTTACACAATGTTTTGGTTTGATGTTTCATTCCATGAAAACGTACTTCCTGTGTTTGTGTAGGTTGCAGAGGTTCATCAGGTCCTGGCTCCTCATCTGGGAGACAAACATGAGATCCAGTGTGTTACAGATGACCAGGTCAGATCTTCTAGTCCGCCGGATTTTTATTTTTACAGCAGCAATAATCAAATCATTGATAGAAAAATAATCGACTGCAATTTTCATGATATTAAATATTTATTGTCAAGTTAGTTTTTATTAACAAAACAGCAAATCATAACAAAAGTTATCTTAGGACATTTTTCATGTAGAGCAGGTCCAGACCATATTCACGTATTAATTAACAGAGACAACAATTCAAACTGATTTACACCAAGAGAAAGCACTCCACAGGCAGACACCTGGAGCAGAAACACAACTCTGTAGTGGGCGGACGTCTGCCAGGCCAGGTTGAGACAGAGGGAGTGACATACATGCACAGCAACAACAATATTAACTTTAACAACTGTAATAATAATAGAGATATGACTCATAATAGTTATAGCAGTGAATATAACAAAATACTCTTCATAGTATCCATAATAACAGCAGCAATAATAATGGAAGTATGACTAATAACAACAGTAGCAGTGGGCACCAAGTAGGACCTCAGTAGCAGGTGCCGCCATGATCCACAGGAACCTGCGAGGCCAGAAAGCAAAAAATCTCCAGGGAAGAAGCCACATTAGAAACATACAATAATGAGATGTGAATGTGTGCAAATAGAGAGAGAAGAAGCTCAGTGTTTGACAGGAAGTCCCCCCGCACATGAGGCCTGTATCGGCCTAACTAGGGGGCTGGTCCAAGACAAGCCTGAGCCAGCCCTGACTATAAGCTTTATCAAAGAGTCTACTTTTAAATGTGGAGAGACAGTGTTTGCCTCCTGGACTGAAACAAAAAGATGGTTCCATAGAAGAGGAGCTTGATAGCTGCAGGCTCTGGCTCCTGCTCTACTTTTGGAAATCTCAGAAAAACAAGTCGCCATGCATTTTCAAGGTACAGTGTTCTGGTGGGATAACAGGGTACCATGAGCTCTCTAAATGCTGAGACGCATCAAGGCTGATGGTCAGCTGCAAAGACTGCAGCCAATGGCTTTGCATCTCTGTGGTTGTTTTGTGTCTCTTTCTGGTTGTTTTTGCATCTCTGTGGTTGTTTTGTGTCTCTCTGGAGTCATTTTGTTTCTCCCCATGGTCAATATATACTGTATATCTCTTTGTGGTCATGGTGCACCTTTTTATAGATGTTTTGATTTATGTGTGGTCTGTCTGTGTCTCTGTGGTTGTTTTGCATCCCTTTGTGGTCACTGAACACCACACTCTGACCATCAGATGGTTGCATTTAAGAGTGAAGGTTGGAGAATCATAAATAACTGAAGCACAGTGAACGAGCAGAGCAGCCAGAAGCGTTGGCGTTTGAAACGACTTCAGAGACCACAAGTCTGCTGTGAATGAAAACAGCAGAACAATCAGTGCAAACATTAAAATGTTATCCCTGTCATGTATGATGGATTAAAGCTTGTGTATTAGTGGTAGCTCCCTCCAAAACAATTTGACATTCAAGCCAGGAGCAGAGCAGCCAGATTGATGCTGTTCTTAGGTTTTTTGGTGCAAACTTAATAAGCTAATCAGCAGTAATACAGAGTCCAGACGAGGCTGATGGGAATTTCATTAGTTCTGCAGGTATTTCGTCATAAACCAAAGTACTGGACACATTAAAATGTTGACCTGATACTGCTATTTGAAAAGGGGGCAATGAATGTATCACACTCCATCCAATAGTAGTTAGCGCAGCTAATAAAAACAGTTAACTGGATACTTCCAGTCATGGACGCAGTCAGTGAATGGTGACCAGGACACGTTTCCTGAAGCTGCTCAGTGTATCTTTAGATTTACACATTAAGACTTTAAATTTACTGATCAGCCTAATTTAACCTTAAATGTGGAGCTGCGTTCCTGTCTGATCACATGCTGACGTACAAACGACACATGAGACAGAGCAAAGAACCTGTGAGCTTTAGGAGCAGATGTGAGCATGAGAACATCTCCAGAAAAAGCTCTTTATCCCACAAACTCTCCTCTCCAGGGGTTTCACTAAAACTATATCTTTATCAGCCTAACAGGATCTGACAAGTTGAAACTTTACCAAATCACTACAGATCATAAATCTTGTTGCTTAACACTGATCCAACTGATAACGTCTCCATTCATCTGTTGGGACTCCAACCAGCCCTGAGTCTGCCTTCAGTAACAAATGTTATTATGGCAAATAAAAGCACATCCAGACATGATGATGATGTCCATGTTGGTCGTTAAAGAGGCAACAGACAGCATGTTTTCCTAAATATATCATGATGAAAATAATGTGGGTTGCACAGGGTAGTGACCACAGTGAAATCAGACGATCAGCGTTTACATAGATTACTTAGTGGCTTTGCAATCTTTGCAATAAGCTTCTGCCACCGGGGGCGAAATTTCAC